CTTCAGGTTGGCTCAGTGGCTCTTCCCTTTGGGCCCTCTTCAAGTTTAATTAACATAGGAAAACCAACCCTAGAGACTCTTAGTTCCACCCAAGACAGTGATTAACAAAAGCTTGCATATCCTGGCCTTTGTAATAAGTGCTATACCGCACTGGTTTTTTGGGATATGAAAGTGTGTGGCACCCTAAAAGCCTTGATGATGGCCACTGTGTAGTTTAATAAAATAGTTTCTCCATTAAATCCTCTCATTGTCTAATCGATCAGCGCTGACAGTAGATTTCTATGTCTAGCTTTTAGGAGTGGATATTATATCATGTGAGCAATTTTTAAAAAAGATTTATTTATGTTTGTTACCAAATCACATATACAGAGAGGAGGAGAGACAGAGAGGAAGATCTTCCATCCGATGATTCACTCCCCAAGTGAGAGCTATGGTCAGTGCTGCTACGATTCAAAGCCAGGATCTTCCTCCAAGTCTCTCACATGGGTGCAGGGTCCCAAGGCTTTGGGATGTCCCCAACTGCTTTGCCAGGCCACAAGCAGGGAGCTGCATGGGAAGTGGAGCTGCCAGGATTAGAACCGGCACCCATATGGGATCCCCGCACATTGAAGGCGAGGACTTTAGTCACTAGGCCACCGCGCCGGGCCCCGTGAGCAATTTTTGTAGGATATCTGAAGTGGTGATAGTTCGTGTTCACTGGTAGAAATTGAATGACAGGGTGTGTGTTTCCTCAGCCGTATGATGTGCCTGCACAGGAAGTGACAGCTAGTGCAGACTAAAGACGGACAGGCCAGTATTTCCCTCGGCTGTTACTCCTTACAAAAGGCATCTCTTTACTATTATGGAAAATATTCTCTGTACTTTATAAATGAGTAATATCTTCCCAAGATAAGAATATGAACATTAAAGAAGAGTCTAGGTCGTCTGGCCCAGTAGTTAAGACACTCATTTGCAGTCGTGGCGTCCTGCCTCTGGCTGCTGAGGGCAGCTGCTTGTGGCCCTTGGGTGACAGCACTTGTGGCTCTAGTGATGCGTTCATGCCAGTCATAGGGAAGACCTGGGTGACCCCCGGCTCCTGGCCTGCTGCCTGGGCCTTAGGACAACCAGCAGGGGAAATATGTGGTCACCCTTTCTTTGTGCCTCTCACTTTTTTTAATTTGGAAGTCAGAGTTAGAAGGATAGAAAGAGAAATATAGAGACATTGTCCATTTTCTGGTTTGTTCCCCAAATGGCTACAACTTTTGGGCCCAGACAAGCCAGAGCCAGGAGCTTCATGTGGATCTCCTATGTGGGTACGGGTGCCCAGCACTGGGACCATGTTCTGCCTTCCCGGTCCCCGTAGGCAGCTGAGTCACTGCATCAGAAATGGAAAAGCACATACAAAACCAGTGCCTGTGTCAGATACCTGCATGGCTGATAACTGCTCACTTCCTGGTGCCACAGGATCAGCTGACGCTAACATTTAAAAATACATGTAATGGGCCCGGCGCAGTGACCTAGCGGCTGAAGTCCTCACCTTGCACGCCCGGGATTCCATGTGGGCACCGGTTCTAATCCCGGCGGCCCCACTTCCCATCCAGCTCCCTGCCTGTGGCCTGGGAAAGCAGTTGAGGACGGCCCAAAGCTTTGGGACCCTGCACCCGCGTGGGAGACCCAGAAGAGGCTATGGGTTCCTGGCTTCGGATTGGCTCAGCTCCAGCTGTTGCAGCCACTTTGGGAGTGAAGCAAAGGATAGAAGATCTTTGGCTCTCCTTCCCTTTGTAAATCTTCTGATACACACCCTGATAACGGCTCAGGTGTTTGGGGCCTGCTGCCCACTGGGGAGACCTGAGGACTCCTGACTCTTCAGCCTGGCCTGGTGCTGGCCATCTGGGGAATAAGCCAGCAGCCAGATCTCTTTGTGTCTTTCCCTCTCTGTCACTCTTTCAAAATGAGAACAAATCTATAAAAAAAAGCTATTAATGTGCGATTAGAAAACAGGAAGCGTGAGTAAGCATTTTACCTTTGTGCTCTGCTCTAGGGAGATGCTTGGTTCACTCGACTGGAAACTCAAGGCTTGGTCCCTTTAGGCCTCCTCTTTCTGATTCTCAGTTCCAGAGGCTGACGCCCAAGAAGGAAGATCCTCAGCCTTGAAGTAAGTTTCTGCATGGCAAGGGATGCATGTAGTATGCATTCTGTTGGTGCCTGGGGAACCCAGGCCAATAGTCATGTCTGGATTAATGACAGAGACACACTGAGAGATGTGTCATTAGGCAGTCGGTTGTGCTAGCAGCACGGGGTGCAGTTAAACAAGCTTAGTTGCCGTAGCCTGTTAATGGAATTGAGAGAGAATGCACGTGAACATGAGGTGCTTGTCCACAGCTGGCCTCACAGGGCGTTCTGTTACTCAGTGCTTGTTTTTTCTAGAAGGTGAAGACGGACACCAAAATTACCACAAAAAGTGTCTGTCAGAGCCAATCCAATCTGACGCTAGGAGCCAGGAGCCTGGAGCTCTGTCCGGGTCTCCCACACGGGTCAGGGTCCCAAGGCTTTGGGCGGTCCTCCACTGCTTTCCCAGGCCACAAGCAGGGAGCTGGATGGGGAGTAGAGCAGCTGGAACTGGAATTGGATTCAGTGTCACATCTCAGCAGTACAGTGAGCCGTACTTTAAGGTGGTCCTTGGATTCTTTGTGTATGTGTGTATGACTTTATAAATTTTTATTTTTATTGCAAAAGCAGAATTAGAGCGAGGAGAACCAGAGATCTTGCATCTGCTGGTTAATTGCCCTGATGTCCCCCACAGCTGGAGTTGAGCCACTCTGAAGCCAGGAGCCAGGAACTTCTCCCATATGAATGCAGGAGCCCCAGCTCTTAAGCTCCCTCTGCTGCTTTCTCAGGCCATTAGCAGGAAGTTAGATTGCAAGTGGAGCAGCTGGGACTCGTGGACGCAGGCCATGAAGAGGCTTAACTTGCTAAGCCGCAGCGCTGGCCCCACATTCTTTTTTTCTTAATGAAATCGCCTTTGTTGAATGTTGGTTTTATTATTTTAGTTTATGCTGTTCTGAGTAGGGGTGAACTAATTGAATTTATTTTCCACATTAATTGCATAAAATATAGTAACTAAAAATATCCTGCAGTTTGATCTTACGAGTTTGAATGAAGTAACCGTGGACACTTGAGCATGTTTCCTCTGAATCTTGAAGACTTAGGCTGGTGCTGTGGCATTGTGGTGTAAGTCTCCACCTGTAACGCTGGCTTTCAAGTAAAATTAATCTATAAGAAATCTTGAAGACTTTTTTAAAAATGGTTATTTGAAAGGCAGATTCACAGAAAGATTTCCATCTACTGGTTCACTCCCCAAATGGCTGCAGCAGCTGGAATTGAACAGATCTGAAGCTAGGAGCCAGGAGCTTTTTCCGGGTCTCCTGTGGGGCTCCCGAGTTCCAAGAACCTGGCCCATGCTCTGCTGCCTTCCCAGGCCGAAGCCAGGGACCTGTGGAACGGCTAGGTCCTGAATCAGCATCTACAGGGGATGCCTGCGCTTGCACGTGGTCGATTAGTCAATCATTGTGCCAGGCCCTCAAAAATGTTTTTATCTCTACATTTTTATTTCCTTTTTAAAAATTAGAGAAAGATCTCCAATCTGCTGATTCACTCCCATGTGACCACAACAGCTAGCACTGTGCACCAGGACCCCAGAATGCCACCTGGTTTCTTCCATACGGTGGCAGGATTCCAAATATTTGAGCCATCATCTCTTGTCAGCCAGTGTGCGTTAATAAGAAGCTGGATCACAAGTGGAGAGACTCGACTCGAATGGCGGCTGAAACTCCTGGCCCTGACCCGCCTAGAGGTTCTTCTCCTACAATGTTAATTTTCCTACGAACTCTAGTGATCTTGGCATCTGCTTCTGAGTGTTGTGTTCTGAGTCACGTCTGGCACAGTGACTGGGATGCTGCTTGGGATGCGTGGGCCTGGAGTGCCTGGCTTGCATCCTGCTCTTCCTTGGATTCCAGCTTTGCTGATGCAGACCTGGGAGGTGGAGGCACCAGCTCAGGTGGGAGCTGCAGTGTGTGCCTGGGTCCCCAGCGCCTGGTGCATCTCCAGCTGTGGTGGGCATTTGTGCAGTGAACCCACGGTTGCTAATTGCTTTCTTTCTGTGTCTTTCAATTAAATGCTAATTAACTGTTTGCATTTTTAGGTTTCTTAAATACTGTGTCTGGTGGATCCTCTCAAACATTATATGTTAATGTATGGTAAGTACATAAAAATATTGCATTGGGAAGAGTGATGGTGAATTGAGGACCTCGGTAACAGCATTATGGGCAGCCAATTAAGCCAGCACTTGGGGTTCCTGCCTCACTGAGGCTTATCTGAGGCTTAGGCTTCACTTTCCTCACCTATCAGGTTGGAGTAAATTAAAGCATTAAAGCAAATGCTATAAATCGAATAGGCTTTTTTTTTTTTAAGTACTATTAGAGATCACATAAAGAGTTTTCATTAATCTTCAAAGAAATTTTAAAAATGAGGAGTATCAGTGTTTTCTCTAAAAGTTAAGTAATAGATTACATTCAAATTTTTTTTTTTTATAAATCTTTTTTAAAGATTTATTTTTATTATTATTTTTTCATTGGAAAGGTGGATATACAGAGAGGAGAGACAGGGAGGAAGATCTTCCGTCCGATGATTCACTCCCCAAGTGAGCGCAACGGCCGATACTATGCCGATCCGAAGCCAGGAGCCTCTTCCGGGTCTCCCACACGGGTGCAGGGTCCCAAAGCTTTGGGCCGTCCTCGACTGCTTTCCTGGGCCACAGGCAGGGAGCTGGATGGGAAGCGGGGCTGCCGGGATTAGAACCGGCGCCCATATGGGATCCCGGGCGTGCAAGGCGAGGACCTTTAACCACTTGCGCTACCGCGCCGGGCCCTACATTCAAATTTTTAAAGTTTATTTATATCTTTGTAGTAAAATACCAAAAACTGTATACTAGAATATTTTTTTGTTTTCCTGCCTCTCACAGACTGCTGCTGTGCTGGGAAGCACGGCCATGGCATCCGGTCTCCTGGACGCAGGAAGTGCATTTGGTGGCTCGGCTAATTCTTTAGTTAGCAGATGCTCGTCAGTGGAAGACAACGATGATGATGTTGTGTTTGTTGAATCTGTACAACCTCCCTCCATTTCTGCTGCAGCAGTAGCTGATGAAAGAGACTGTATATTTACATCATCAAAAAATGAACATCCGCAAGACAATTATTCCATAAACGTTCCTTCCTCAAGAAATTTTGCCTCTGTAAAGAGAAATATTTGTGAGACAATTGTCATTGAGGATGAAGAGGACTTACTAGAAACACCTGAAGGGAAAGAGAAACAGTCTTGCAGTTTTACTGAATGGGGTATTCCTGGAGCTAAAAACAGAACCCAAGATTCGGATTCCTCCACTTCCAGACTTTCAAGAAGTAAGGTAAATGCAGGAATGGGTGATAGTGCTGGCCCTACAGAAGCGACTCTGTTCCATCTGACCTAATGTTACTGCCTTAGAAACAGGTGTGTGGTCTGTGAATGCTGGGCGAGATATAAACTTAATGATTACCCGTATGTCACATCACTGCAGAACACCAACTTGGGCGATGTCTCTGACGGACTGCAGTCAAGTCATTTCGGTGTTAACATACAAACATACACCCCGACTTTAACTTCACAGACCAAGACTGGAGTAGGATCTTTTAATCCTGCTAGGATGCATGTGGCAGGAGATGTGTTTCAGAATGGGGAGTCTGCCTCTCACCACAATCCTGGTAAGCAGTAAGTGAAACCATTTCCCTTTTGTCTCAAGAAAATATGAGTATTTTCTGGACTCATCACTTTTATGTATATGTGAGATATTTAATAGCCCTTGCTATTCCTATTAAGAGAGAATATTTTATTTAATAAAACCTTGTCTGCATAGTCTCCAAAAGTGGGGGAATTTATTTTGCCCAGTGATTTGCATCTAGCGTTTTTTTCATTGGAAACTCCCAGAGCTATTCTCAGTAGCCTTGTTTACGCTAATGTTAACATTATAAGATTAAAGAATAACCCTTGAGTTAAAATAATAAATGTGAAAATCATTGAATTTTATTTCATACATAAATATGTAGCTTGATATTTTCAAATTTTCTTCTTCTATAAAGAAGTTACAGAGGGTAAGGGAGAGAGAGACGGAATTTCCCATGTGCTGACTCACTGCCCAAATGGCCATCCAGGATGCTGCTGCTGCAAGTGGAGGATTAGCCTACTATGCCACTTCACTGCCTCTAACTTTTGCTTTCTAAAGATTTACTTTTGGATTGTTTACCTGATTTTGGTTGTAAGACAGCAACTTAATGCTTGATTTTAAAATTGAAAATTCTTGCCTTAAAATCACAGAACTCTATTTTAAAACTGTCTGTAGATACTTTTGTTCTGGTAAATTATAACAAGTAAAATATTAGTAGTTGCCTCTTACAGCTTTCTCGACTTCGGTGTGATTTTGAGGTGGCTTTTGTTGTTATTACACCATTACATGGATAGGTCTTTAAACTCATGCTTGGGATTCCACCTCTTCTATCGGAGTGCGTGTGATTGACTTGAGCCTCAACTTCTGACTCAGCTCCCTACTGCTGTGCCTGCGAGGCGACAGGGACAGCCCAGGGACTTGGACCCCTGCTACCCACTTTGAAACATCAAGTCAAGTTTAGGGATCCTGGTATTACCATGATGGAAGATAAAAGATATTTATCTCTCCCTCTTCTTTTTTTAAAGATTTATTTATCTTTATTACAAAGTTAGATGTACATAGAGGAGGAGAGACAGAGAGGAAAAAGATCTTCCATCCGTTGACTCACTCCCCAAGTGGCTGCAACAGCCAATGCTGTGCCAACCCAAAGCTAGGAGCCTGGAGCCTCCGCTAGGTCTCCCGCGCAGGTGCTGGATCCCAAAGCTTTGGGCCATCCTCAACTGCTTTCCCAGGCCACAGGCAAGGAGCTGGATGGGAAGTGGGGCTTCCGGGATTAGAACCAGTGCCCACATGGAATTTCACCTTGATCCAGATGAAGCCATTAGACTACTGCACCAGGCCCTATCTCTCTCTCTCCTAAAAGCGTGATCATGCTAAAGCTTAAATGAAATGATGATTAAAAAAAATTTTTATTTATTTGTATTAGAAAGTCAGATAGACAGAGAGGAGGGGAGACAGAGGAGAATGATCTTGTGTCCACTGGTTCACGCCCCAAGCGGCCACAATGACCAAAACTGAGCCTATCCAAAGCCGCCTATGCCAGGGGCTTCTTCCAGGGGCTCCCAGGCAGGTGCAGGGTCCCAAGACTTTGGATATCTTTCACTGCTCTCCCAGGCAGCAAGCAGAGAGCTGGATCAGAAGTGGAGCAGCCAGGACATGGTTTGCCACCCATATCTGATCCCAGTGCTTTTAAGGCAAGGATTAACCAATTAAACCATTGAACTAAGCCCTCTTTGTTTTTGTTTTAAGATTTATTTTTATTGGAAAGGCAGATTTATGGAGAAACAGAGAGAAAAATATCTTCCATCAGTTGGTTCACTTCCCAGATGGCCATAATGGCCAGAGCTAGGCTGGTCAGGGGCCAAGTGCCTGTTCTGAGACTCCCGCACAGGTGCAGGGTGCCAAGGCCTTGGACGCCCTTTCACTGCTTTCCCAGGCTGCAAGCAGGGACTGGATTGGAAGTGAAGCAGTCAGGACACATATGGGATGCTCAGGACGGTGGAATGTTAGCCTGTTGAGCCATGCCGCCCCCCACTTCTGAGATTTTGTTAAAAATATAATTTTAGAACTTTTTTTAATATTCAGTTTGGTGTACATTTGTTTTATTTAATCCAAATACTGGTATTTTGCGGGCCCAGCGACGTGGCTTAGAGGCTGAAGTCCTCACCTTGAATCCACCGGGATCACATATGGATGCCGGTTCTAATCCCAGCAGCTCCACTTCCCATCCAGCTCCCTTCTTGTGGCCTGGGAAAGCAGTCAAGGACGGTCCAAGGCCTTGGGACCCTGCACCCATGTGGGAGACCCGGAAAAGGTTTCTGGCTCCTGGCTTCAGATCGGCGCAGCACTGGCTGTTGTGCTCACTTGGGGAGTGAATCATCGGATGGAAGATCTTCCTCTCTGTCTCTCCTCCTCTCTGTATATCTGACTTTGTAATAAAAAGGAATAAATCTTTATTAAAAATAACAAATATTGGTATTTTGCATTATTTTAAAAGCGTAAGATTTGAATGAGGTGCCCATTCCTTCTCCTTTTTTTTTTTTTTAAAGATTTATTTTTATTATTTTTTTATTGGAAAGGCGGATATACAGAGAGGAGAGACAGAGAGGAAGATCTTCCGTCCGATGATTCACTCCCCAAGTGAGCGCAACGGGCCGATGCTATGCCGATCCAAAGCCAGGAGCCTCTTCCGGGTCTCCCGTGTGGGTGCAGGGTCCCAAAGCTTTGGGCCGTCCTCGACTGCTTTCCCAGGCCACAAGCAGGGAGCTGGAAGGGAAGCGGGGCTGCCGGGATTAGAACCGGCGCCCATATGGGATCCCGGGCGTGCAAGGCGAGGACCTTTAACCACTTGTGCCACCGCGCCGGGCCCTCCTTCTCCTTTTTTTTAAAAAGCATTCCCATGGTTTTTCATTTTTAGAAACTCTATACAGTAAATATCTGACTTTTTTGTTATTTCCAGAAAGTATTACTCAGTGATTGTATTCTCAAGTTTCCCTGTAAAAAATCCACAGATTATTTGTTTGTTTACATCCACAGATGATAACTATATTAGCAAATCTGGGGAAGGTTGTATTTGTCAGTTCAGCTGTTGCTTGGGACCCAGGTTCCACCTGGGGTGTGGAGGACTGAGGCCCCCTGCCGTCCTGCTTCCTGCCCCACACAGGGAAACCCTGCAGGACTTCCTGGCTCCTGGCTTCAGGCTGCCCCTGTGTTGGCTACTAAGGGTCTTTTAGGAGGACTCTCCTCTCTTTCTGTTCTTCTGCCTTTCCAATAAATAAAAATGAAGAAATACTTATAAAAATTAAGCTTTAATGAATGTTCAAAGCATGTATGTTATAGGAATTATCCATTGTGATGACATGAATGACATATTTACTGAAAAATAGCTTATTTTAAGATTTATTCATTTTTATTACAAAGTCAGATATACTCCCCAAGTGGCTGCAATGGCTGGTGCTGTGTCGATCCGGAGCCAGGAGCCAGAAGCCAGGAACTTCCTTCTGGGTCTAACATGCAGGTGCAGGGTCCCAAAGCATTGGGCCATCCTCCACTGCTTTCCCAGGCCACAAGGAGGGAGCTGGATGGGAAGTGGAGCTGCCAGGATTAGAACCAGCATCCATATGGGATCCCGGTGTGTTCAAGGCGAGGACTTTGGCTGCTAGGTCACACTGCTGGGCCCAGGTGGTGAATAATCTTGAACTGAAAAATTAAGGCATAGTAGGTGAAAAATTACCAGTTTCTGTACAGTTTTTGCATGACTTACACACTTGCCAAAAATTATAAAATCTGGCCTTACATAGATCTATCATTGGAGAAGGTAGCACTATTTTACTATTCTGTTTAAGCAGTTATGCATACACTTTTGAGTAGCAACAAAATTACACAATATTTAAGATGTTTTAGAAAGTGCAGTGTTAAGCATGCAGTTGCAGAAACTTTTGTAGTTTATTGAAAACCCACTTGAATGGATTTCTTACTTTTGTATGCTTCAGTAACATGGAACACTGACTATTTGGCAAACACTAGCTCGCTTAGTTCTTCAGACCTTCCAAATGTCCGTAGTTGTTGGCAGAAGTTCTGCTTTCTGTGCGTGCGCTCTCGGTGCCAGCCACAGGCGTTGGGGCGTGAGCCAGCAGAGCAGCTCTGCGTGCGCCTCCCGCCTCTCCAATAAATACATGAGGCTCAGAACATGCTCCTTTTAACCATTTCCTGAATGTGAGTTACTTGTTGCTTGTTTCGAAGTGCTGTTCTTATGTGCTTGCATAAGCATGAATTTCATGAGCTCTTTAAAGCGTTTTTATATTCTACAAAATATTTATACATTTTTAAGATCATCCCTGTTTATGGGTTACTTTGTATATTTATAAAAAATACGTAGCATATGATGAAACAAATTCCTGGCTGGAATTAAGACTGACAGCCGTGCTTATATTTCTCTTACACTCTACTTGCAAGGCCTTTGTCAATAATCCAGAATGAACACAGATTTTGATCTACAGATGCCCTGAATAGCCAAGGCCGGATAACGTGAAACCAGAAGGCAGGGGTTCAGTCCGGCTGTCCCCTGCGGGTTGCAGGATTGTAGTCACTGAATCATCACTGCTGCTTCTTCCCAGGGACTTCATTAGGGAGTCAGCTGGAAATGTGTGTCAGCCCATTGACTGGGATGAGGGACTTCCGTGTCTTTACCGCCAGGTTAAACACCTGCTCCATGAGCAGATGCTTTTCCATATGAAAATTTGGTGTCAATAGGAATGAAACTTTAAGCAATATTCTATTCTAGGTACTACTCTGCCAGTTTCGCTCAGATTATGGATAAAGTACTGTTACCACAAGTATTTGAAAAACAGTTTTGAGGCCTGGCACCATAATCTAGTGATTAAATCCTGGCCTTGCACGCCCAGGATCCCACCTGGGCACTGTTCGTGTCCTGGCTGCTCCACTTCCTGTCCAGCTCCCTGCTGTGGCCTGGAAAGCAGTTGAGGCCCAAAGCCTTGGGACTCTGCATCTGTTTGGGAGACCTGGAAGAAGCTCCTGGCTTTGGATTGGCTCAGCTCTGGCCATTGTAGCCACTTGGGGAGTGAACCATCAGACGGAAGATCTTCCTCTCTGTCTCTCCTCCTCTCTGTATTTCTGCCTTTCCAATAAAAATAAACCTTTAAACAAAAAACAATCTATACATTTTAATTGTAGATGGCACAACTGATGAAAGCATGAGTGAATAGAAGATTTATTACAGAAGATTATATGGACTGGATGATATAAAGCCAATAGGCTGATAGATACAAAAGAGTGTATAGGATGGGGCCCAGCACGGTGGCACAGTGGTTAAGGTCCTCGCCTTGCACACCCGGGATCCCATATGGGTGCCGGTTCTAATCCCGGCAGCCCCGCTTCCCATCCAGCTCCCTGCTTGTGGCCTGGGAAAGCAGTTGAGGACGGCCCGAGGCTTTGGGACCCTGCACCCGCGTGGGAGACCTGGAGGAAGTTCCTGGCTCCGGATCGACACAGCACCGGCCATTGCGCTCACTTGGGGAGTGAATCATATTTGTGGACCTAGGTTTGATAGCAGCTCTGGGTCCCAGCCACCTTTGGCCAACGCAGACCCTGGCAGCCGCAGTCACAGTGCGTGTAACGGCAGTCCTGCTACTCACATGGAACACTTGGAGTGGTTTTTATTTTTAAAAACTCTTTGTTTTTTTCAAGATTTATTTATTTTTATTGGAGAGTCAGTTCTGCAAAGATAAGGAAAGATAGAAAGATCTTCCATCCACTGGCTCACTCCCCAACTGGCCACACTGGCGGGAGCTTCTCGGTCTCCCACACTGTCACAGGGTCCCAAGGCTTTGGGCCGTCCTCGACTGCTCTCCCAGGCCACAAGCCGGGAGCTGCATGGGAAGTGGAGCTGCCAGGACATGAACCGACACCCAAATGGGATTCTGGCACATGCAGGAAAAGGACTTTGGCCACTAGGCTACCATGCCAGGCTCTCCAAACTCCTGGTTTAAGCTAATTTTCTACATGAACTATTGCAGGCATTTGAGTTATGAACCAATAGATATCACTTTATTATCTCGTAAAAAAATGTAGCCTATATATATATAAATCCCAATCAGAACAAACTAAAGATCATTACAGAAATCATGGAAATTTGAAGCAGTCCAAATGTCTGTGAATGATAAAATGAAGTACTCAACAGCAGTGAAAAAGGGTAGTATCCGTACACTTTGGGTAGAGCCTGCGGACAGCGTGGAGTTGAGGAAGCGTACAGAAGGACTCCACATCTGTGAGGTTGGAAGTGAGACAAAACGGGACAGACCTCTTGCAAGAGGTTCAGCTCCCACTGGCAGTGTTGGCATCCCATAGAGGGTGCCAAGTTCTCATCCACTCTGCTTCCAGTCTAGTTTCCTGCTCGTGTTTCTAGAAAAAGCAGATGATCGCCTGAGTGACTGAATAATAACAGGTCCTAATAATAGTTCTAGTAATAATAATAGTTCTAAGGTGGATCTTGGAAATTAACTTTTTTTTTTTCTTGAATCTATTTGAAAGTCGGAGATAGAAAGTTCACACCCAGTATCAACCGGGTTGAACCTAGATAAATCTGGGAATCCGAAACTCAGTGCAGGTGTCCCACGTGGTGGCAGAGATCAAAGAACTGAGACATTTCCTCTTGCCTCCTAGATTTTTCCTGCGTTAGCACGATGCTGATTCAGACAACCCAGACACTTCCGGGTAGGAACTGGCATCGTAATCCTCGTATCAAACACCTTTTCTGAGGTGTGTGTGTCTCCTCTCTTTAAATCTGACTCTCCAATAATAGTAAATAAACGTTATAATTTTAACCCAGAAGAAGCTCCTGGCTTGGGATTGGCTCAGCTCCATCCATTGCTGCCACTTCCTCTATGTCTTTCCTCTAAATCTTAAAAAAAAAAAAAAAAAAAAGATATTTAATGTGGAAACATTAATAGCCTCATAAAAATTTTTGGCAACTTTAAAATTAGTAAAAATGCTCTCAGTGAAAAGAGGAAATATCTGCTTTATTGTGTTTGGACCAAAGCTAACATGAAAAAATATATAGATTTCTATAATTATACATTATACGTATATTAAACATTCCATCTTTTTAAGTGTGAATAGGTCCATGAAGCTGTGAAATGCTTTTAGATCTTCTGTATTAAAAGCAATGGCAGGGTCCCAGCGGCGTGGCCTAGCAGCTAAAGTCCTCACCTTGAACGTGCCAGAATCCCATATGGGCACAGGTTCTAATCCCGGCATCTCCACTTCCCATCCAGCTCCCTGCCCTGCTTGTGGCCTGGGAAAGCTGTCGAGGATGGCCTAAGGCCTTGGGACCCTGCACCCACATGGGAGTCCTGGAGGAGGTTCCTGGATCCTGGCTTTGGATTAGCATAGCATTGACCATTGCAGCCACTTGGGGAGTGAATCATCAGACAGAAGATCTTCCTCTCTGTCTCCCCTCTCTGTATATCCGCCTTTCCAATAAATAAATAATAAAAATAAATCTTAAAAAAAATAGCAATGGTAGATTTTATATACATTTGCTGTTTTCTGCTATTTATTAAATACAGTTTTGTACAATGATACAAAGAAAGTTTAATCATAGAATATAACTTTCTATTTACTTGTGGATGAATGTATGCTTTTTGTTTTCTTTGGGGGTAGTTATTTTAGTTGAAAAGGAAGATTTATACAGAGAAGGAGAGACAGAAAGAAACCTTTTATCCCCTGGTTCACTCCCCAAGTAGCCACAATAGTCAGAACTGAGCCAATCTGAAGCCAGGAGCCAGGAGCTTCTTCTGAACCCCCACGTGGGTGCAAGGTCCCAAGATTTGGTCATTCCACTGTGTTTCAGTGCCACAAGCAAGGAGCTGGATGGGAAGTAGAGTAGCTGGGACAAAAACTGGTGTCCATATGGGATCCCAGTGTGTGCAAGGCCAGGATTTAGCCACTGAGCCATCACACCAGGTCACTTTTTATTTTCTTTCAAATAATTTTGTATTCTTCTGGAATAGTTCCAAAGAAGGAAGAAAGGGATATTTTTGTTTGATTGGTTTGTGTATGAGTGTGTGTGTGTAAGATTTATTGTTATCGGAATGTCAGATCAGATTACAGAGAGAAGGAGAATCAGAGAGAAAGTTCTTTCATCCACTGGCTCACCCCCCAAATGGCTGCAGTGTCCACAGTTAAGCTGATCTGAAGGTACGAGCCAGGACTTTCTTCTGGTCACCCCGCAGGTGCAAGGTGCCAATGCTTTGGCATCCTCTGCTGCCTATCCATGCCACAAGCAGGAAGCAGGATGGGAAGTGCATCAGCCAGGGCTCAGTGGGATCCTGGCATTTACAAAGTGAGCATTCAGCCATTGAGGTGTTGCACTGGACCCAGAGACACGCATTTATTAAACACTCTTTCTGAATACTTGCTGAGAAAATCAATTTACTTAAATGTACTTGAGCATGTTCCTGAATGCATTCAGGAGAATTAAAAAAGTATTTTTTTGTCATTTGTTTCTATTTTGCCTATAAATAAAATAATCTGAAGTAGGACAAAGAAGGTTAGACGTAGTAGCTGGTAATTCAGTAATAAATATAATTAAATGTTTTAGTGCAGATGGTATGTTACCAGGTCTTTGGGTTACTGACAGAACAAGGCGTCTTGGTAAAGATAAAAGCTATTGGGGAAAGAAGACAAAATAATTCTGTACCTTAGGCCTTGTTTCTGAAGGTTCCTCCATCCTGAGACTTGGTTAGAAGTATACGCAGGATTCCTACATGATCGCCTATGCACTGTGCATGCTACTGCTCATTCCATTTTGAAGCTAACGCTATAGCAATGTATGAGGATTGTACTTTTAAATCGGTGTCTGTAATGTTATATTTTCATTGACTGGGGTTGGTTGTAGAACAATTTAAAGCGTAAATGTCTAAAGTTTCTAGAAGGGAAGTATACTAATGTCTATGGCCTTTTTTAAAGTTTTTTTTCTTAAGATTTATGAATTTTTTATTGGAAAGTTAGATTTACAGAGAGGAGGACAGGTGGAGAGAAAGATCTGTCCAAGTTCACTCTCCAAGTGGTGCACTGAGCTGATCTGTAGCTGGAAGCCAGGAGCTTCTTCCAGGTCTCCAATATGGGCTCAGGGTCCCAAGGCTTTGGGCCGTCCTCCACTGCTCTCCCAGGTCACAAACAGGCAGCTGGATGGGTAGCAGGTCCGCTGGGACACAAACAGATACGCATATGGGATCCAGACGTGTGCAAGGGGAGGATTTAGCCACTACACTGCCGTGCTGTGGCCCTCTGCAATCATTTTGAGACACAAACCACAAGTCGAAAAAAATGGTGAACTAAGGCGTTGGATGCCCGTTCAAGTCCTGGGTACTCCACTTTGGATCGCACTCCTTGCCAGTGGCATGGGATAAGCATCCACTTATAATTGTCCAAGCTTCTGGACCCCCAGCACCTTTGTCGCAGTGTCAGGATCAGGCTGGGGTAGTGACCATTCAGGCAGTACAATAGCAGATCAAGGATCTCTCTCTCACCCTACCTTCCTAAAGAAACGAATGTAGTATATTTGTGGTGTCTGGGACTCGGAGACACATGTGGAGTTTGGCGTTGCACCGTTTCCGAAGCTGCCGTCTTGTTGTTGGTTTAGTGGGGTGTTGAGTCGTTTAAGATACACCTGGGGTTGGGATTGTTCCTCCAGGCTGTCTGACCTTAACCATGCTGAAGATAGCCAAGTGCCTTGTTGGTCTCTTAACTCTTAAATGAAAAGTGAAGCTATTTTTCTGTTATATTTTTGAGTTGCTCCATGACTTTTTCTTGTGTGTTTCATTTTTAAGATTCATGGATCTCCCAATCAGCCTCATTTCCATGTAATCAGAAACAGCCAGGGGTGGATTCTTTATCACCAGTGGCCTTACTTGCTAAACAGAATTTCCTGCCGTCAGCCCAACAACTTAATGCACCAGCTAAAATTATTTGTGCAAACTGCAAAATTGCTTTGCAGAAGGGACAGACAGCTTACCAGCGAAAAGGATCAGCTCACCTCTTTTGTTCTACCACCTGCCTTTCATCCTTCTCTCACAAACCGTGTCGAAAGTCACGAAAAGTTATGTGTAAAAAGTAAGCAGTACATTTCATCATTTCTGCACGTGGTCAAGTGTGAGCAGCATAAATCAGTGTTCTTAACTGTAACTGGGAGCTGGAAAAGTTCATGGGTAGAATTGCTAACAGATATGTCTTGAAGTATTTGAGCTTAAGTTATCAGAATAGGATCTGTTGCCTCCCCGGTACCTCGTTGTGGCGTGGAAGCAGACCACTGGTGTGGGAGCCAGTAGCCCCTTCTGCGACACTGCTCTGACTCCCCCACAACCTTTCCTATCGTGTGTCTTAGCTACCAGCATTTTAAGAAATATAGCAGAGTCCTTTTACTTCTGAATTTAGTCCTTACATATTAAGTAGGAATTTGTGGCAATGAAGCCAGAAGTAGATTTTGCTTCATTCAAACTGTAGTTGGTTACTATGATTAAATATTAAGGCAGTGAAAAAATGTAGATCATTGTTCTCATACTGACTTAAAATTCAGTTACTCAAGACACTGTATACGACTTATGTTTCAGAAATGGACCTACGACGAACGCTGCTATTGTTATTCCCGTGGAATCAAGCCAATGCTTTGGAGAATTTTCTGGTCCGTCCTCTTTGTCTCCCTACGAAGATGGCCAAGATCCCAGAAAAGGAGTTTTTAATAAGTCGAGATGTACAATCTGTAGCAAATTAACAGAGGTCTGGATTCGCGTCTATGTTATTACTGTGTACACTAATGCATAATTTTAAGTTCAAATATCTAAGTCTACATAATACAAGGGTCCAGGATCGTTTTAAATTTTGGCTTTGAAAGGAATGCTCAAATATGGTAGTAGGGCTTTTCTTTTAAGATTGGTTTGTTTATTTGAAAGTACAGTTACAAAGAGAGAGACAGAGCTTCCATCAACTGCTTCACTCCCTGAATGGCCACAGTGGCCAGAGCTGGGCCAACCCAAAGCCAGTAACCTGGAGTATCTTCCAGGTCTCCCACATGGATTTAGGAGCCCAAGCACTTGGGCCATCTGCTACTGTTGCTTTCCCAGGCACACTAGCAGGGAGCTGGGTCAGAAGTGGAGCAACCAGGACTTGAAACTCTGGTGCCCTCATGGGATGTCAGCTTTAGCTACTCTGCCACAGTGTTGGCAGTAGTTGTAAGGTATATTTAGTTCTTAATAGTAATGCTAAATTAACATGTGATTTCAGGCAGGACATAAGAAACAACAGATCCTGAAGAGAGTGAATATATGCTGTTGGCTTAATTTGGTGATATTGTAATCTTTGCAGCTGCTACTAGAGGGAGAAACAGGAATACAGACAGTCCTTCCTTTCCACAGTCCTTGTTACCTAGATTTTATATTGGTTACCCCCAGAGTCTTACAAGTCAACTTCATGATTTTATCTTAGTTATCACATTGAAGAGCTCTTTTATTGTGGATACGCACATACCATTCTGGGTAATATTGACTTCTTTGGAATCTCACCAATCTTCAAGGGCATTACGTTTTGTCTTATTTAATTTTAAGTGATTTGAAAGAGAGGCTTGTGGCCCGGCGGCGTGACCTAGCGGCTAAAGTCCTCACCTTGAACGCACCGGGATCCCATATGGGTGCCGGTTCTAATCCCAGCAGCTCCACTTCCCATCCAGCTCCCTGCCCTGCTTGTGGCCTGGGAAAGCTGTCGAGGACGGCCCAAAGCCTTGGGACTCTGCACCCACACGGGAGACCTGGAGGAAGAGGTTCCTGGCACCTGGCTTCGGATCGGCATAGCATCGGCCGTTGTGCTCACTTGGGCAGTGAATCATCGGACGGAAGATCTTCCTCCCTCTCTGTCTCTCCTCTCTGTATATCTGCCTTTCCAATAAAAATAAATAAATCTTGAAAGAAAGAGAGAGAAAGAGAGGCTTACCAGAAGAGGGAACAAGGAAAAAGTGATCTTCCATACACTGGTTCACTTCCCAAATACATGACTGCTCTGTCCAGGGCTGGGCCAGGCTGAAGCCAGAGCCTGAATTTCCAGGCAGGCCTTCTGCCTGAATAGCAGGGGGTCAGCCATTGGCCCATTTGCTGCTTTCCCAGGAGCGTTACCAGGGGGCTGGATGAGGAGTCAAACAGCCAACAGTTGACTTGCTCTCCTAGGAGACGCTGATGTCACAGCTGGCAGCTAAGCCCATTGGTCCACTGTATCAGCTCCAGAGAATGGACTGCGAGGCTACAAATTTCCGCTTCATCTCTTTTAAGCAGTTCATAACAGAACTTCCAGTTCATTTCTTCTGTTCTTAAATGTGTTTTCTCCATTGAGATGCTATTGGGAAACCTGGTTTCTTGTACAGAGCAGTGACTGACTGCTTTACTCGTCTGGTTCATTTCGTTAGTAAGTTCTGATTTTTATTCTAGATTCGCCATGAAGTCAGCGTTAATAATATAACGCATAAGCTGTGCAGCAACGACTGCTTTGATAAATACAGACTGGCCAATGGTCTCCTGATGAACTGCTGTGAGCAGTGTGGAGAGTATTTGCCCAGGAAAGCTTCAGGAACCAGCATCCTAACTATCCGAGATCAGCAGAAAAAATTTTGCTGCCAAAGTTGTGTTAACGAATACCAGCAGGTAATTCTTTTTTATTACCTTGAATTGACTGAGCACACAATAGCCTTACCCTGTAGACTTGCCACAATGTCTTGGGACCTTGTTCAGCTAGTTCCGTTTTGTCATTCTGTCGTTTAGCCGGCTTGTCTGTTGCTGTAAATAATTTTTGTTGTGAATGTTGACTCTTTGCCCAAGTTAGGAATTTTTCTTTACCCTTTTGCACTCCCACTAGCAACCTGATAGTTCTGATTTTGGTGTCGTGCTGCCATGATGCTCATTGTGGTTCTAGTCAATGTCCCTGGTAACTAATGTTTCGTCATTAAAAAATTTGCATTTTCAACTTGTTGGCCCACTTCTAAAAACTACAGTTTAATATTTAGTTGCAGAAATTCTCGTTATGTTCTGGATATATATCTTTTGTAAATAAATGTCTTTAGAAAGTTTTTTCTCAGAATTCCTTTTCTCAATGTTTTTGAAAATGCAACATTTTTTATTTTGAAAATTGTGTTTCATTGCTTGCTTCTTTTAAAATTTGTTGGAGAACCAGAACTTTGATCTGTCGGTTCACTCCTCAGATGCTTCCCACAGGTGAGACTAGGAGAAAAGCTGGCAGGAACCTAGGTCTCTCGGGGGGCTTTAAGGAACCCACTCATTACGGGCTAAGAGAGCTAACTTGGGAATCTGACCCGAGACTCCACTGTACTACAGCGGTGTCTTAGCTACTAGGCTAAGCATCTGCACCTGTTTGGTTCTTTTCAAATGTTGGGTTCAGAGGCATAATGATGAGAAGAGAGCTTGCGTTGGCTAGTGCATACCTCAAATGCCTGCAGCAGTAAACAGCCAGGGCGGAGCCAGGAGAAACCAGGATCCTGGACCTGCATCGGGTATGGAAAGAATCCGTCATGTGCCCAGGCATGCCAGCAGAAGGCTGAGGGATGCTGCAGAGGCTTGATCCCAACCACTGTAGTGGGCCATGCTGGCGTCCCAATTGGTTTTTTGTTTTTTTGGTTTTTTTTTTTAAGATTGATTTATTTTTGGAAAGGCAGATATACAGAGAGGAGGAGACGGAGAGGAAGATCTTCCGTCCGATGGTTCACTGACCAAGTGACCGCAACAGCTGGAGCTGAGCCAATCCAAAGCTAGGAGCTAGGAGCTCTTTTGGGTCTCCCACACAGGTGCAGGGTCCCATGGCTTTAGGCCGTCCTCACTGCTTTCCCAGGCCACAAGCAGGGAGCTGGATGGAAAGTGGGGCAGCTGGGAAAAGAATCAGCAGCCATATGGGATGACGGCGCGTGCAAGGTGAGGACTTTAACTGCTACGCTGTCGTGCCGGGCCCCCAATTGGTTCTTAACCCGCTGCATCCATAACACCTACTATAAGGCTCATGTTCTCTTTTTCTTTTTTCTTTTTTTCTTTTGTTTTTATTGGAAAGGCAGATATGCAGAGAGACAGAGACAAAGATCTGCCATCCACTGGTTCACTCTCCAAGTCACTGCAACAGCTGGAGCTGAGCCAATCCGAAGCTAGAAACCAGGAGCTTCTTCTGGGTCTCCCACGCAGGTACAGGGTCACAAGACTTTGGTCATCCTCTGTTGTGGAGCTGGTTTGGAAATGGAGCAACCGGGGCATGAACCAGCACCCACATGAGATCCCATCAGAAGTGGAATTGTGGAGTAGTCCAGACTCACCAGGCACTGATGAAGCGGGCTCATAGCCCAGGCAGTGGTTTAATCTGGGTCACAGCACTGGCCCCATTGTCACAGATTATCAAATCATCTACCAATTGTGATGAATAAAGTGTTAATGAATACCTGAATTAGGAGATTTCTCCATTTTTTTATGTGTGTCTCTGCCTAGCCAGACACACAAATTGCAGAGATTGTTACAGAAATTTCATCTTGGGCCCCACGTGGTAGCCTAGCAAGTCCTCACCTTGAACGTGCTGGGATGCTATATAGGCCCTGATTCTAATCCTGGTGTCCCCCGCTTCCCATCTGGCTCCCTGCTTGTCGCCTGGGAAAGCAGTGGAGGATGGCCCAAAGCCTTGGGACCCTGCACCAGCTCCGGAGGCCCAGAAGAAGCTCCAGGCTCCTGGCTTCAGATTGACTCAGTTCCAACCACAGCGGCTACCTGGGGAGTGCATCAGTGGACAGAAGATTTTCCTCTCTGTCTCTTCTCCTCTCTATATATCTCACTTTCCAATAAAAATAAATTAATTACGGCCCGGCGTGGTGGCGCAAGTGGTTAAGGTCCTCGCCTTGCACGCCCGGGATCCCATATGGGCGCCGGTTCTAATCCCGGCAGCTCCACTTCCCATCCAGCTCCCTGCCTGTGGCCCGGGAAAGCAGTCGAGGACGGCCCAAAGCTTTGGGACCCTGCACCTGCGTGGGAGACCCGGAAGAGGCTCCTGGCTTCAGATCGGCATGGCATCGACCGTTGCGCTCACTTGGGGAGTGAATCATTGGACGGAAGATCTTCCTCTCTGTCTCTCCTCTCTGTATATCCGCCTTTCTAATGAAAAAATAATAAAAAATAAATCTTTAAAAAAAAATAAAACATATATAAATTAATTAAAAAAAATTTCATCTTTGCTGTTAAATGTCAAAGATTTTTTTTTTTTTTAGCTTTGTTTATTTAAAGGGAGGAGTAACAAATTCAGTTATTCCATCGTCTGGTTTAGTACCCACAACAGCCAGTGCTGAGCCGGACTGAAACCAAATTTTGGAATTCAGTTCCTGACTTTGACGCAGGTGGAAGGGCCCAGGTACTTGGGCCATTGTTTCCTGTCTTCCCTTACACAGAGCACAGAAATAGGAAGGATTGAGTCATTCAGATTTAATTAACATCTCTGCAATTCAGCACAAACTTAAAATACCTTCATCACTACAAAAATAAATTCCATACTATTGATAATTACTCCCCATTTCTTCCCTCCAGTCCTCACTACAGAAAGTCGTAGGCAGCTGTTGATTCGCCTCTGCGAATTTGCCCAGTCTGAGTAGTTTCATAACTAGAACCGTATGATATGTGGCACTTTGTAAATGCATGTATCACCGTTTACAAGCTTTCATCTTGGGGCCAGCACGGTGGCACTGCAGGCTGGTCCTCTCTGGCTCCAGCATCCCATATGGGCTCTGGTTCGTGTCCCAGCTGCCCCACTTCCCATCCAGCTCCCTGCTATGGCCTGAAAAGTCAGCAGAGGAACGGCCGCTTGGGAGACCAGCAGAAGCTCTTGACTTCCAGCCTCAGATCAGCTGAGCTGTGGTTGTTGAAACCATTTGAGGAGTGAACAAGCAAATGAAAGATCCCTCTCTGCCTCTCTCTGTAAAATCTGCCTTTTGGGCCTGGCGGCGTGGCCTAACGGCTATCTTGAACGCGCCAGGGATCCCATATGGGTGCCGGTTCTAATCCCAGCAGCTCCACTTCCCATCCAACTCCCTGCTTGTGGCCTGGGGAAGCAGTTGAGGACGGCCCAAGGCTTTGGGACCCTGCACCCTTGTCGGATACCGGGAGGAGGTTCCTGGCTCCTGGCTTTGGATTGGCATAGCATCGGCCGTTGCACTCACTTGGGGAGTGAATCATTGGACGGAAGATCTTCCCCTCTGTCTCTTCTCCTCTCTGTATATCTGACTTTCCAATAAATAAGTAAATCTTAAAAAAAAAAAATCTGCCTTTCAAATAAAAATAGACCAATCTTTAAAAATAAATAAAATAATCAATATCAGTATAACATTATGGTTCATACATCCATTCATCCCTCTGTATGGACATTGAATTATTTCAACCTTTTTGACCATTATTAGTGATTTTGCAATGAACATTTTTATATAAGTTTCTGTGTGAATATGTGTTCTAATTCCTCTGGAGTATATATTCCTCTTTGAGTGGAATGCATTGATGTTGTGAGTTGATGTTTTTGATTTTTTTATTTTTTTTTCAAACTGTATTTACTTTGAGAGGCACAGTGACAAATCTTCCATCCCCTGGTTTGCTCCCCCACTGCTTTCCGCAGCCAGGGCTGGGCTGGAGTAAAGCCAGGAATTCCATCTGAGTCTTCAGGTGCGTAACGGTGACCCAAGTCCTTGGGCTCGTTCACTGCTGTCCCAAGGGGGCAGAGGGAACGAGGAGGAGCTGGGCCGTCTGCGTCCCGATTCAGGATGTGGCATCCACAGCCACAGCTTCACCCTGTGTGGCCATCGCGCTGGCCCCTCACTTGTTCCTGTTTGCTGATGTGTCCGTTGAGTATTTATATGTGCCTTTTAACGTTCTTCTGTCTCCTTGAAAGGCAAAGAGAGACAGGGGCAGGATCTTGTACCAGTTATTTCATTTCACAGATAGCCATGATAACCGTAGCTGGCCCCAGGAAGGAGTCGAGCAGTGAAGCTCAGGGCCAGCACAGGTTCAGCTGCTCCCTGGGATATGGGTCTTGCAGCCACCCGGGAAGTGAACCAGCAGGTGGAAGACCTCTCTGTCTCTTCCTTTCTCCATACATTTTTCAAATAAATAAATGACTCTTAGGAAAAAAAATAGCTTTGAATTTCTCGTTGGATGTCAGGGACCCCAGTGCTTGAGCCATGGTTTGTTGCTTCCCTAAGTGTTCATTAACAGAAAACTAGAAGTTTGAGACCCGAACTCAGGCACTCTAAGTAATATGACAATATTTTAACTATTACGCAAACAACTACCCCATGTGAATTCATTTTTTTTTAGCAATCACAGAATGAAATTGTAATCTATCTTATTTCTTCTCAGATGGTGGAAACAAAACCAAAACTGTTCTCAGCATCAGATAACAGAAAAAGGAATGCTGTTGGAGATGAAGAAGAAGAGGGAAAATCATATGGATCTTCAAATATGCTTTTGGAAGCATCAAGGGAAATCATAGCAGAGAAAAGGGAAAAGACCTGCGAGCCACAGGCCTCGGCGGCGTGCAGCACCGGTCCGTTTCTACTCCTGCCGAGTGTGGCTCCAACCTCCCTGTTAACCAGGGTGGGTAGGATCCAAGAGCAGCTGGAAGACTCGGTCACAGCAGGCTTGCTCTGTGCAGACTCGGTCACGGCAGGCTTGCTCTGTGCAGACTCGGTCTCGGCAGGCTTGCTCTGTGCAGACCCCGGCACGTGGCCTCGAGTTTTAAGTGCTAAACAACGAGATACTCTTGTTGAAAATGATCTGCCTCAAGTAAGAAATTTTAACTTTCCAAAAGATAATACAGGGAGGAAGTTTTCAGAAACCTACTATACACGAATTCTTCCGAATGGTGAGAAAACCACTAGACCCTGGTTGCTTTATTCAACCTCAAAGGATTCTGTCTTTTGTCTACATTGCAAACTCTTTGGGGAAGGAAAAAATAGGCTGAGAAATGAACATGGATGCAAGGACTGGCAGCATTTATCACATATTCTGAGTAAACATGAAGAAAGCGAGATGCACATCAATAATAGTGTTAAGTATTCACAATTAAAATCTGACTTAAGAAAAGGTAAGACTGTTGAAGCTCAGGAACCCAGCTTATGTGGGGATGAAACGGGTGACGGTGTGCTGCTGGTGTGTATGTAAACACACTTGATTTCTGATGACAAACACTGAGAAAAAGATTGTATGGTGACAGTAAATATTGCGAGCTATTCAGAAATACTTCATTAACAGTACACTTAAAAGCAAGTCATTAGTAAAGAATATTCCAGATTTACTGGTCAATATTGCAGATTGTACCAAAGGCAACTTTTCTCTATCACTTCATGCCTTTTTATTTTGAAAAAAAAAAAAGAAAAGAAAAGGGCAGAGTGAGCTTGTGGCTGCGGCTTCCCGCTCACGGTGGCTTCGGGAGCCAGGGATTGGCCAGGCTGAAGCCGGGAACCTGAGTCTGCACCTGGGCCTCCCGCACGTTAACCTGGAGCAAGGAGAGGGGCCGGGGTTTCAGACCAGCACATCCAAAAAAAAGCAGCCACCTGCATGCCACAATATCTGTCCCATACCTTGAGAAAAATGGACATTTAAAAACTGCCACTTGGCGGATTTGGTTAGTACCACATTGAAACAGGCAGGAATGACATACCAACTTGAATAAGACATTTAGGTAAACGAGGCTAGCCAACTTTATCAAGAAAAAGCAGTTCAAGGACAGAAATGGGATCTGAACAGAAAGGTTAAACCAAATACATGAGGTTTCTTTAGTGCTTTTTACAAAGCAGCGTTGCTATACTGAACAAGGTGGTTAACTTGCATTTGGTGGTTTTAATCTTTTTGTTTTAATTTATAAGTGTTTCAGTTCGAATTGTATGAGAACTATAGTGATAAAGAATATATTCATATATTTTTATGTTGGTACAAATATAATAAATACTTAAATAAAAAAATGTTAAGCTACCCTCCAAGTATTTTTTTTTAAGATTTATTTATTTGTTATTACAAAGTCAGATATACAGAGAGGAGAGACAGAGAGGAAGACCTTCCATCTGATGATTCACTCCCCAAGTGACCACAACAGCCAGTGCTGCGCCAATCCAAAGCCAGGAGCCAGGAACTTCCTCCAGGTCTCCCATGTGGGTACAGGGTCCCAAAGCTTTGGGCCGTCCTCGACTGCTTTCCCAGGCCACAAGCAGGGAGCTGGATGGGAAATGGAGCTGCCGGGATTAGAACTGGTGCCAGTATGGTATCCCTGGCGCATTCAAGGCGAGGACTTTAGCCACTAGGCCATGCCACTGGGCCCAAACCAATGAATTTTAAGGTAGCACAGCATGAAAAGTGGATTGCTACAAAAATATAAACATGTGTGTCACCTGGCACGAATGCAAAAGATTTTCACAAAGCTCATGACAAATGTGTTACAAAAAAACTATTCAAGCTCCCACAATTTTTTTTTTAAGATATGTTTATTTGTATTGGAAAGGCGGAGAGACAGAGAGGAGGATCTTGTATTGCAATGATTCACTCCCCATGAGGATGCAAGGGTTGAAGCTGAGCCGATCCGATCTGAATCCAGGAGGAAGAAACTTCTGGGTCTCCCCCATGCAGGTGCAGGGTCCCAGGGCTTTGGGCCATCTTTAACTGCTTTCCCAGGCCACAGAGAGCTGGATGGGAAGTGGAGCAACTGGGATATAAACTGGCACCTGCATGGAATCCCAGGCTTGTGCAAGGTGAGGACTTTAGCCACTAGGCCCTGCATTATTTTTCTTAAAAAATTATTTTTCTTGAGCAAAGGCAGACCTTGGTTCCACACAATGCCACCATCGTGCATTGGGAGGGACCCAGGGGAGTTCAACCTTGGGGCCTGGGTGTGGAGAGCTTCCAGCAGCCTGATGGCTCCTGGGAGCACCCAAACCAGGTTTGACTCAATGCTTGGGGTCCTAGCCACTGCCACAGCTGCCATTTGTGAACGAGTCCTGATCTTTCAGATGCCCAACGCATAAATTGGCACTGTTCTCTACCCACTAGCTGCCCCGGGGCCAGCTCGGGGGTCTTGGGGTATGGTATTGCTGCGTTAGGGATGTCCGTGAATGAGGCCACTGTGCGTGTTGGTGAGGAATCAATCCTGAGGGACTCCCAACAACAGGGTAACTTTACTTGCAGGTAAGTGAGGGGATGAGACCTGGTGGTTTGGAGGAGGGGAGGCTGGACTATCTGTATAGGTCAGATTGATGCACCAGCCTACGTGTGAGTCCGGTGTAGGGCTTGTTATCACCGAACAATGCTGACCACCGCATGCCAGTCCACACAACAGCTAGGGCTGGGGATCTGTCCAGCAAAGCTAGATCCCGGTACGTGACAGAGTGTCAGATCAGGTGACACATCAGGCAGGGCCTAACCAGCACACAAGAGAGACCTGCCCAGACTGTTCTTGGTCCCTGTACCCATGAGTGATGGTAGGTTCCATGGTCACACCTAGCTCAGCTCATTACCACCCCAACTCTTGAGCTAACCAGCAGGACTTGTATTTCCACAGGGTTGGACAGCACCTGCATGTGCATCCTAAAGCAGGGTGTTCCCGGACTTCAATGTTCACCATCTCATACAAAGCCAAGATGGAAGGGGAGACTATGCCAGACACTGGCCTGAAACCCGCTGGCATGTATGAGATCGGGGTTTGGGAGTGGGTCAAGTTGGGGAACTTAGAAAACCCCTAGTGGGTCATAACTCTAATGATCACATGGTCCAGGCCTGCGGGTTGGGCAATCTGGGCAAAGTAGCTACAACTTTTGGCTAATGTGTGAGTTGGTTATGGAAAAGGGGCAGACTGGAAAGGACCAAGCAAACCTTAGTTCACAAGCAAGAACAGAAATCAGGCTGGAGCACAGGTCATGCCAAACTAGGCTCTTACACCTACTGATTTGCATGAGCCAGGAATAGACTGAGCAGGGGCAGGCAGGTCATGCCAGGCTACAGCATCTAAGGCAAAGAACAAAACAACTGAGGGGCTATAGCAAGCTGGGTCAGAGCAACCACTGGGCGTGTGCACAATCTATGGCTGGGAACAGGACTGGTTGGGGAGCTTGACACCCTGGCTAGGTTGGGGTTCCCACTGGTGAATGTGGGGGCTGGAGTGGGAGCTGTGTTCTGCTCTGGATATGGCTGCAATGTTCCTAAGCACAATATGGATCGGGGCTGGATGCACCGAGCTTAGCTAGACTCTGCACCATCTTGGTGCTCTGGAGGACCAGGGTAGATGTAGAACAGACTAGGCTAGGTCTCTTCCCCTACTGAGCCATGTGTGAGCCCTATGTGGGTATGGACAAGCCATGGCTGGGCTGAAACATCCAACAGGAAGAACCGGAATGGGTTGAAGGCCAGTCAAGAAAGGCATCTGTTCCTGCCAGGACTGAAACTGGACTAGGTAGGGCTGGTCCAAACACCTACCCGTGTACATAAATGTAACACTGGGAGAGGTTCTAATGGAGGAGCTTTGGGAAACTCCATGATAGGGAGCAGCCCAGCCCAGGCCACGGAATGGTACTGACCGGCATACATTTGGCACAGGTCAGGGACAGAGCAGGCTGAATAGTTCACATCATCCCCTGGCAAATCTGAGCACGAGAATGGAGTGTGGGGTTGGGCCAGGCTCGGTCACAGTACACACCAGTACACATTATGGCTGGGCTCGGCTAGGCTGTAACCCCCACCACTGGGAGCTGGAATTAGCAGTGGGTCAGACCAGCCCAGGTCAGGGCTACAGCACCCACTGGCAAATGCCAAAGCAAGGAGGGCATGGCAAACCTGGCTGTAGCACCCAACCAGCACACATGAAAACCGGGGGGAGGGGTGAAAGGGCAAAATGGTTGGGGTAATGTGGAAGGCTCCCCTTGCTGGACAGCCACGCCCGTTGGAGAGCATGAGTTGGAATGGGGGCAGATCAGACCAGGCAGGGCTACAGCACCTGTGGGCCTCATGTGAGCTAAATCAGGAGAAAGCTAGTACATAAGTTAGAGTGAGGTTGGGCTTTGCTGCAGCATCAGCTGGCAGAGGCTGGCACTGAGGGCTAATTCTGTCAAGTTAAACTGCAGAACACCCTGAGAGTGCAAGATCCGGGAGTGGGAGTGGACCCATTAGGGAAATAGTGGGCACCTCCCTCTTGGGTTACCACTCCCACTGGAGAACATGAAAACCAGGACTGGGGCAGCGGTGGCTAGACAGAACAGTACCCACCAGCATGTGTGTGGCCTGGATAGTGGGGCTGGTTGGGTTGAACTAGGTTTCAATGCCCACTGACATGTATGAGAGCTGAATGGGATGTGGGACAAACTGGACCAGTCTGCTGTACATACTGGCAAGCACAGGAACCAGGGCAGGGGTTGGGCCTGGTGGGGGTTACTGTGGATTGCTCTGACTAGGCTGCAGCTCCCACTGGTTTGCATGAGGGCTGAGTGTGTGGTGGGCAGGATGAGGCTGGGTTCCAACACTCGTTGGTTCATGTGGAAAACAAGGCTGGAAACAGAAATGACCCCAAAAAAATGCACAAAATCAGGACTGGGATCACCTCAGACAAAATTTCTTCAGGGATCCCTCCAACTGAACTGCTGATCTCAGAACTCCAACCATCAAGAGAAGTGCAGGTCCCATGGTCTGACCACGGAGTGCATGTGTCAAAGCTGAGCCTCCTCAGAGGCTCAGACAGAGCAGTGGACAGCATATCCAGGTGCACACAGAGGATATGGCAGTCCATCAGAACCTGCAGAGGAGACCTA